CTTATATACGGGGCTGCCCCGGGCCGGCGGCCGGGAAACGTGCCGAGCGGGGGATTCTTTTGCCGGGCTCCCTCCTACGCGCCGGCTGCTTTGCACTTCTGAAAGTGCCGGGGCTTGGGAAGTGTTTTCCTTTTCATTCCTGGCCGGAGCGTTTACTGCCACGGCGCTAGCAGTCATAAATTTTGTTACAAACCGCAGTGACAGGTGCATTGATATGCACCCTGAGAGCTCCGGCTGCTTTAATAACCGCTCCGCTGGCCGCTCTCACCGCCTCTTATTTATTCGGTATCATATTAGATATTGATCCTAGGCAGAATTAAGTGTAGTGGAAGTTTTAGAAGAGAACTGCTTAATACCAAAGTGTCGGGAGGAAAGCGGCTGGCAGTGCCGGCGGGGGCCGGCCCCGCTCCGCGAACACGCGTGGAGTGGACGCGTGGGCTCCCGGCTGCTCCCCAGACAGAGCCGTGAGAGGGCCGGTAACCTCCAAAACCGCTGGAATCAGTGGCGGGACAAAGACCCCCATTATCGTGTGCAACGCCTAACAGTTCAGGCGAGGTTAACCTTTCTGGAGAGGAGGAAGGGAAATCTGAAACACAGACATGGATACTTTGCGGTTTCCTACCCCCGGTGCCTCCGAGCCCACCTCCCACGGCTCGGCCTCACCATTTGGATGTCACTTCTTTTTTTTTTTTTTTCTTTTCCTGGAGGCTGTTTCTGGCCAAACCACCAAGTGTTGAGCCCCTGCTTTGGTGTTACCTATAAAAACATCACCCCGGGCCTTGCACTCGTAGAAAATCAAAACCTGGAAAGCTCTCCCTCTCCCTCTTTCTCTCCCTCTCTCTCTTTTTAAGATCTAAAGATGAGCCACCAAACAGTTGAGCATTGTCCATGTGATTTATGGCCCATACCCTCCTTTTTAGGTTCAAGCAGAGTTCACAAGCAGTTGGTATTTCAGAAAAGAAATAAGGCTTTTAACAGCTTAACAGCAATATTCTTTCTTAAGATTCTGCGTACTCTTTTGGGAACTATATTTTACAAGGCACATAAAAGCCTACGCTTAAGGCGGTGTTGTGCTAACAAAAGTCCTCAGTCCAGATCGCTCCCGAAAATGCAGATGATAGAAGTGGAAAACGAGCTTCAGACTTATTTCGCACAAAAATACTTTCAAGACTCGTCAAGATTATCACAGCACATTAAAACTCGTCTGAATCGCCACCGTCCATTTCCAAAGACATTTTTTTTACTAAAATTTCCCAGGAGAGGAAAAAAGCTCTTTTCCCGTTTCCATCAGCTCCGCAGATCATCCCAGGCTTTTGTTCAGGGAAGAAAAGGACGGCGGCGGTTTGCGACAGGGGATAAACCGCCGAGAGCGGCGGCGGGAGGCAGCTCGCTGAGGTTGTTCCGAGTTACACAGACGAGTTGCCCGGCGAATTTTAGAGAACAGATCAGCGGTACTTGGCGGTGCCAACTGCTGCGGGAGAAAGAGCAGTTCTCTCGTAGAATTGCTTAAGTATAGGCTGGAGAATGGTAATTATCGGACATTGTTCAAAAATTTCTAGCTACTCTTCTCTGGTATGTTAATAGGCTTAAAACCTGGAGAAATACAATGAACCCTTAAGATAGGTTGAGCTACAGACTTATATTGCCGGGTGAAGTATGTGTTAATTTACAAAATTACTAAAAATGTCAGAGAAAACCCCTATCCGACAAGAAAAATAAGAACAGGGAATATTAAAAAGCCCCAACAAAATCGCAGACGAGTTTCTATCTTGCAAGACGCGCAGAGAAGTTTCGGGAGCAGCAAGGGGCAAGGTAACAGCCCCCCTGCCCCAAAACATCTGCCCTAAGGGGACCGTGCTTTTTCGGTCTGAGCAGCTTGATCGGGGGGGCAGGGGGGCGGGGAGGGGAGCGCCACAAGTTTGCAGACTGGAAAAAGAAGAGAACCCCCTAAAAATGATCTCCAGCGTCTCAGGTTCTTTCTACTGGGGACAAATAAAAGGGACGAGAAACGCCGGGTGAGGGAATTTAATTCATCACAGGATTAAAATAGAGGAGCTGACCTGAGACTTCCTTTATAGTGCAAAGTGGAGGGAGTGAATGGCGCCGGTTATACTTTAACTCCGGAGGAATCCGGGGGAAGAAGGAGGCCGGGTTTACAAAGGGGACGGGATTTTTCTGCCGCTGCCCGGCCGCAGCCCGGGCTCAATCCATCATGTCAGCCCGGCGCGGCCCTGCGCACGCGTGGCGGGCGGGCGGGCGAGGG